ATTTAAGGTGGAACGGAAAATTTAGCCAGACATCAAAACTACTAGTGACTTTTTTTGCTTGTTGTTAAGAAAAGGACCTTAATACACTGAAAAGGCATTAAACTAAGATAATATGATGGTTATCGTAATTTTTATCAGAGAAAATTCTCACATTTGTGGGTTTCTTTGGTCTCTTGTTCTCCATCTTGCCGGTTCTTCTTTTTTTCTCATATCTCTCTGTTTGGAGTCTCTGAAAAACCTCCGTTTGGAGGGTCATGTAGCCCCAACACTCCGCCCTGCCCCTCTATCTCAACAAGAGTCAGGACACCCTACCCCTAGACGCGAACATGCAAAACAGGGGTAGGGCTAAGTGGTAGGGGCGAGGGGTGAAATGGGACGGGGCCTTAATAGCCTTCATTTCAGAAAGAAAACGCTGGAGTCCACAGACGTTTAGATGGCAGTGTGTAGGGGTTTATGTAATTGCAGCAAAAAAACATAATAACACACTCATATTCACCCTTAACCTGCTGAAATATCTGTGAGTTGGTTGCAGAGTTAAACACAAAACCACACAAACTGCTACATGAGCACTTTTGCAGCCCCTCAGATGAAGACCCCTCAGTTCAGAGAGCTTTGTGCTCTTCAGTCTGAGATTAGTTAGTCTAATTAGACTTTATTCCTCGTGGCTGATATCCGCTGCAGGATGAATCCGCTGTCCTTTATTTTACCCCGGCCTACAGAGAGAGAGAGAAGCACAACAACTCTGAGTCAACTCAGCTCACCCCGCCCGGTTCAGTGAGAGTGTGTGAGTGTGTGTATTTATCTCTTTGTGGGGACCCGAGTCCTTCAGTCTGATCAAAACATGGACATGGGTTTTGTGTTTGTGGGAAAAACTGCAGCTTTTATTAGGAAAAAGTAAAAGAGGACAAAGTGATCTGAGATGAATGTGCATACAAGATGGCTCTTCAAGGGTTCTTTAGTAAAGACAATGGTTGTGTATAGAACCATGAGCAGTTAAAGAACCCTTTGCATGATTAAAGGGTTCTCTGCATGGTGAAATGGTTCTTCAAATTGGTGGAGAATGTGTTGTGTATGGTTCTATATAGCACCAAAAAGAGTTTGACATCGTAACAATAGAAGAACCCATTTTGGTGCTATAAAGAACTCTTTTAAAAAAAGGTTCTATATAGAACCATACAAAACACATTCTCCATCAATCTGAAGAATGATTTAAGCATGTAAAGGGTTCTTTGAGTGTTCATGGTTCTATATAGAACAATTGTCTTTATTCAAGAACACTTGAAAATCTTTTTTAATGATGTACACACAGATAGAGAGAGATAAACAAATAAAGAGATAGAGTAAAGAAAATACAGAAAGGGGAAATGAGAGAAAGAAAGCAAAACAAGATGGGAAAAAAGATGGAGAGGCAAGATAAAGAGAAAGAGGGCAAAGAGAGTAAAATAAGAAAGGTAAATGAGAAAATAGAGAATGAGAAAAATGAGAGAGACAGAGAGATGGATAGAGAGAGAGAGGGATGATAGAGAGACAGAGAGAGAGAGATAGAGGGAGAGAGGGATGGATAGAGAGACAGAGAAAGAGAGATGTATAGAGAGGGAGAGGGAGTGAGGGAGGGAGGAAGTGAGGGAGAGAGAAGGAGAGAGAGAGAGAGCGAGAGAGAGGGATGGACAGAGACACAGAGAGAGAGAGAGGGAGAGAGAGAATGATTAGTTTTCTTTGTGAATGAAGCCCATCAAACGACTCCAATCGCTCTGAAATTGGCTCAACAGGTTTGTTTGTCCGGCTCATGTTTGGTCACACAAAGGACGCTGTTGTCCTCTTTGATGGACGGCTTCATTTGATGTGAAACGCTCAGATCTGACCAACGAAACGCAAATGGAGCTTCCTGAGCCTGAAATCATTCACTTTTAACGTCCACCAATCAGCCATAACATTATATCCACCTCCTTGTTTCTACACTCACTGTCCACTTATCAGCTCCACTGACCGTATAGTTTCACTCTGTAGTTCTACAGTTACTGTAGTCCATCTGTTTCTCTGCATACTTTGTTACCCTGTTCTTCAGTGGTCAGGACCCCCATGGACCCTCACAGAGCAGGTACTATTTGGGTGGTGGATCATTCTCAGCACTGCAGTAACACTGACGTGGTGGTGGTGTGTTAGTGTGTGTTGTGCTGGTCTGAGTGGATCAGACACAGCAGTGCTGCTGGAGTTTTAAACACCTCAGTGTCGCTGCTGGACTGAGAATAGTCCACCAACCAAAAATATCCAGCCAACAGCGTCCTGTGGGCAGCGTCCTGTGACCACTGATGAAGGACTAGAGGATGACCAACACAAACTGTGCAGCAGCAGATGAGCTATCGTCTCTGACTTTACATCTACAAGGTGGACTGAAAAGGAGGCGTGTCTAATAGAGTGGACAGTGATATATTTTTTAAAAATAAGCAGCAGTTTTATAGCAGTTTAGCCCCACCCATTCAGCATATATCAGTTTAGCCCCACCCATTCAGCCTACAGCAGTTTAGCCCCACCCATTCAGCCTATAGCAGTTTAGCCCCGCCCATTCAGCCTACAGCAGTTTAGCTCCACCCATTCAGCCTATAGCAGTTTAAAGCCACGCATCCAGCCTACAGCAGTTTTGCCCCGCCCATTCAGCCTACAGCAGTTTGGCCCCACCATTCAGCCTACAGCAGTTTAGCTCCACCCATTCAGCCTGCAGCAGTTTAATGCCACCCATTCAGCCTACAGCAGTTTAGCTCCACCCATTCAGCCTACAGCAGTTTAGCCCCACCCATTGAACAGAGTGTTGTTCCTGCAGGCAGTCTCTGTCAGAGACTTTAGAGTAGAAGATGAGGGAAAGCGATTAAATGTTATTCTGTTCCTGACTGTCGGAAGCAAAATGATCATTTCAGCTTCCAAATGATCCACACATCGGAGAGGAGCGGCTGAAGATTACCCCCCCCAACACACACCCACAGCCCAGACGATTTCAGTCTGAATCTAGCAGATTGTTCCACATTGTTCTAAAAGCTCTATAAGTCACTTCCAGTAACAGAAACAGTCTGTGCAGCTCTAAGGGATAAAGAGAGGTTGGACATTAGTCATGTAGAAACGAATTATGACAAACATCACCAGTGAACTGTAGACTCTGGACCCTTTAAACAAAGCTTTGCTTCAGTAAGAGTAGAAAAACGTAGCTCAGTCTGTTCTTGGAGCCAATTAACCTGCTGTAACCACCAGTTGCCATGTTTGTGTCGCTGGAGCCTGAAATCACACACTGTTTCTCACTCCGCTTCGCTCAGGCGAGGCTTGTACCCGTAACTCAGCATGTCACAGTCGTGCTGGCCGACACAGCTCAGGAGGGATTTACTGCTGGATTGTGAAATGCACTCGTGATCTCACACGCAGTGTCGACAGCTCCTGTCCCGAAGAAATAAACAGCCGTGATTTCAGAGACAGTGATTTCGTTCAGAGAGAACCGCTCACTAAGAAGCCGAGTGGCTGAGCCTGTAGCTCGAGGCCTTTTGGGGTTTATGGTGGTGTAACAGAGGGTAGTTGGAGTGGTCATTTATGGACTTATTTAATTTTAGAGTGTAAAATGAAACAATTGCATTCTTTTGTGTACCCTGGGTGGCACAGCTAAATGACTGGCAGGTTGTGGGCAGGGTTTGCATTTTTAAAGGCTGTAAGTGGCGCACATTGGTGGGCCTGTATTATTACTGCAGTGAAATAATGACCACAGTAAAAGTAAAAGTAAAAACACTCAATTTGAGAATAAGTACAGAAGTTGCAGCTCAAAAACGAACCTGCTGCTGAACTTCTTAGTCCGTCCAGCATCTATTAGCACAGGAGCTGAAGTTTGTACGACTCTATTCTCTTCTTTTTGGGTCATTTTGGTTTGAAATAGAACACAAACTCGAAAGTGAGAGTAGAGATCAACAGTAAAGCAGAACAGGAGCTGAACCAGCACATCATAATAAAGAAAAATGACTGAAATGGAACTGAGGGAAAACAGATCGCTGATATTCTTGAATAGATGCAAAAGTATTAGCATTTGAAAACACCCAGGAAAGCACAAACCTACCAAAAGTGCATGGAACTGAGAGAATGGAGCTAATTACTACCCACCTCTGGGTTCAATGTCAGTACAAGCGTAGAATAAGACAGTGGAGGCCATGATTCCACTGTGAGAGGTGCTCTGTATTTAACACCAGGCCAAAAGCACATACAAAGAAAGCACCGCTCCTGTTGGGGAGACCACCATTAGGCAGCTACTTCTACTCTACGGTGACTAACCCCCAAACCCAAACCACCCACAAAATAATGCAATAAACACACACCGCATACCTTTAACTGACGAACAACATCAACAATAAACAAGTCGTTTTTCTGGAGGGCTAGCACCTCCCCTGAGCCTCCTGGCATGTCCATCAGCATGGCCACACCTCACCAGCATCTAGAGGCCAGCGCCAGCCAGTAGCGGGTTGCTATGTTATGATGTCCACTGCAAAACTAGCTAAAATAAAATAGAATTTTGGTCAATAAGTCTTTTTAAATAGTCTTAGTTTTTCAGTGCATGATTGAGATTTTAGAGGTGAAACTCTTCTGTGTTTGGTCTTTAAGGAAAGCTGGAGCGGAGCTGAGCTCAGTCGACTGCTGTGTTCGTTTATCCTACTCTTATCAAATACCTGCTATCTTGGTGTCCATCATAACACCAAAAACTAAAACTAAATAAAAACTATTACCTTTGAGAAAAAATCACTGTTAGTGCATCCATAAAACTAAATATCAATGAAACTAAACTGAATCGAAAACCAAAATGAAAAACGAAATAAAAATAAAAACTAAAGAAATTTGAAAACTATATTAACCCTGCCTCCATTCCCCTCCTGAAAGTTTGTTTATGTTCAGATTTATTGTCATCACCTGTGTATTTGTCTGTGCTGTGATAATAATGATTCGTGTCCTACTTAAAAACATTTGTTTTGTTTATTTTGCAGGGCTGCCATCGATGCCTTCGCTGCTCTGTTATACTCAAGTAAGTTCTTCTTTGTGTTACAGTACGCGTTGCCTTGCGTTACTGGCCACTTTATTAGAAACCCCTCTCTTGCTGGTGTACAGTTAGAGACTGTAGCTCATCTGTTACGCACAGATTGTGTTGGCCATCCTCTAGTCCTTCATCAGTGGTCAGTTTCTGACCACAGAGCCGCTTTCGTCTGGATATTTTTGGGTGATGGCCCACTCTAAACCCAGCAGTGACAGTGACATGTGCAAGAGCTCGTAATGTAAAAGTATGTTTCTAATAAAGTGGAGAGTGAGTGCTAATGCTACCCAAGCTACGGATACCCATAAAACGGCGCCATATCAGTCAGCACTGCTGCTGTTAATGGATGTTTTATGAAAAATGGATGTTTTGCTGTGGCGTATGAACACTCACAGCCTGTGGGAGATTCAGGAGACATTCAAGAGGTGAAAAAATGCAGAAAGGAGAAGAGCAGAATACAAAACAACCCCAATTCCCCAAAGCTGGCCACAATGCAGTCAGTGCTATAGGGCAAAACGCTTCCTGCACACCTGTTTCCGCTGGAGAGTTCCGCCCGTTATTGAGCCAAGTCTGATTTAGAGAGGGCGGAGGAGATGCGGCAGTGTGATGCTCACCTGAAATCTGATAGAAAACAGTAGCTCTCCTTTGTTTTTCTGTATTTTGTAGCTGCAGGTGGGCTGGTCAGATTTATCTTTGCTGTCTTGTGTTTTTTTATTTATTTATTTATGTTTTTTTTGTACAATGCAGCATTGAATAAATCTCATAGGTGCTCATAGCAGTAAATCTTTTTATGTCCTGAAGCTGAGTAGTGCGCTGTAGAACTTAAGACTCAGTGTGAAGAGTCGAGTTTAGTTGCAGCTCAAGACTTGAGTGTGAATTTCATTGGTTTTTCTTTTACAATTGTGCATAATTCAATAATTCAAATGTAAACAAGACCATTCAGAGTGATGTCTGGGTTTCTTTACAGTGGTGGTGATAGGAACCAGGGGTCGCCATGACTATAACACAAATATTGACATTTTATTTAGTATCCAGAACCACCAGTGAACCTACACGAGTCTTCTGAGTTTATATGGAATGTTGATGATGGAAAATAGTGGAAAATCTGAAATAATAAGTTTTCTTTGGGGACTATTTTGCCTCACAGCGCCCTGCATATTATGTATCCCTCCACCATGAATGGAGTTTTAGGCCAAAATCTTCTCAAAACTATCATAAAACAGTGTCTCAGTCGTCAGGCAGTGAATTCAAAACCATTTCATGTAGTAACTTTCTGTGAGGGAGCTTTTAGAGGTGGACGTCTGGTTCCTATCACCACCACTGTGAGCAATTCTGACTCTAGAACAGAGCGTTTCACACCAAACCACTCTGAAGGGACTTTGTTTATCTTAATTATTGAATTATACAAAAGATTTTTGGTGGAGTTACCCTTTTAGTTCTTCCAGGCTCTAACAAATCAATCTAGTTTCAGGGCAAACTCTTTACAGGAGCTAATTATTTGCAGGCTTATCTGTAAATGAGGACACAACAGAGCCAACTTTGTTCAGGTGTTAATAAACGAACAAACAAATAGGAATATTAATTCTTTATCACATTAGATTTCTGATACACACTGAATATGTTTAAACTGGTTAATATTAATGAATATAATACAAATGCACAATTAGATAACTGGATTATAAGACAGAGGGGAATGAACGATGGAAGAAAGGAATGAATGAATGAATAAATGAATGCATACATACAGTTGCATGCAAAAGTTTGGGCGCCCCTGGCCAGATGACGTTATTGTTAATTTTCAGAGACACACGTCTGCATATTTTCATATACAATTACTGTTTATTTACTGAGTTTAACATTAAAAAATAATAATTAAAAAAAAACTTAAAATGTGGCCTGTGCAAACATTTATATTGTTATGCGTTTTAATGTTTCCAATATGTTAATCCCAGCAAATAAAAAGAAATTCTGCATTAAAATTTGCACAAATATTTGTTTAAATATTTATATTTAAGTGCGTTCTCTGCTGAGGGTGTGTTCACTTATTTCCACTTACACTTTAAAAAAATGGTCCTTTAAGGGTTCTTTAGTAAAGACAGTGGTTCTGTTTAGAACACTCAAAGAAACATTTGCATGGTTAAATTATTCTTTAGATTGATGGAGATTGTGTTGTATATGGTTCTATACAGCACCATTAAAGGTTCTGCTATTGTTACGATGTCAAGCTTGTAACAATACAAGAACCTTCTTTGGTGCTATATAGAACCATATACAACACATTCTCCATCATTCTGAAGAACCATTTAACCATGCAAATGGTTTCACCATGGTGAAATGGTTCCTCAGATTGATGGAGAATGTGTCGTCTATGGTTCTATATGAACACTCAAAGAACCCTTTGCATGATTAAAGGGTTCTTTGCGTTGTCAAGCGTTCTTTGGAAGGATGGAACATGTGCATGAATGTGCTATAGATGGTTCTATGTAGGACCTTTTTTGAAAATGGTTATATATAGCACCCAGAAGGGTTTTTCTGCTGTTACAAGCTTGATATCCTAACAATAGAAGAACCCTTTTGGGTTCTGTATAGACCCATTTTCAAAAAGGTTCTATATAGAACCATCTACAGCACATTCTCCATCAATCTGAAGAACCCTTTCACAATGCACAGAACCCTTTAATCATGCAAAGTTTCTTTATGTGCTCATGGTTCTATATAGAACCACTTTCTATACTAAAGATCCCTTGAAGAACCATGTTTTTTAAGTGGAACATCAGCAAAACATGAGATTTGACCGAACCTGAACACGATTGCAAATATTTTAGCCATAAATGATTCAGAGAGGACAAAGAAAACACAACAGTGCATTAAATATGCAAATAAATCAATAATAAATCAGTTTTTTTGGAACCCAAGTCACGTTAATTATAGAAAATATTGCTATTTCTTTCTATTTCAGCTCACATTAGATAACTGAGTGGTTTTATGTTGCCCTGCACTTTGTGGCTCCATCATTATCCGTGTTCTAGACGTGTATTAATCCTTTACTCCACACAGACGCAGCCCGTCTGCACCCGCAGTCTGTGTGAGGTAGCGTTTATGAATTGATCGAATTGATCTGTTTGCTTGCAGCAGGTCTGCACGCCTGTGTGTTCGCACGCGCTGCATAACGAGGAGCTCGCTGCTTATTTGCGGGATTACACCATGATGCTGATTTAATACGGGATGCCACAGATGCTCTGTATTTTTCACTCTGACAGTTTTATTAGCCACTGCGTTTGCTGGGTTGGGGGGTGGGGGGGGCTGGAGTATATTAATACACACACAGACCTTTGTTTTCATACAAGTTCAGAGGGAACTACATTTTCATTTCCCTTAAAAAAAGGAAAGAAAAAAAAAAGATTACATAAAATCTGACTGCTTTCAAAATTCATAAAGAAAAAAAAAAGTGCAGCAGTTTTATCTGCAGTGTTTCCCGGGCTTGCTGCACTCCTGCCCACCAGTAGGTGGCACTGTGACTCTGTGGAAGGGAGCTGTTGGGTTCCCCTTTGGGTTTTGGGCATTGGTTTCCAATCTAGGTCTTGAGTATCCCTCTCCTTTTCAGTGTTTTCCTGCTCTAACATGCCCACTTCAGCTCAGGAAGGGCTTGTTAATTAGCTGATTAGGTCTGTAAGAGCAGGGAAACACCAAAATGGGCAGGACAGGGATCTTCCAGAACCAGGAACAGCTCTGAGGAACGCTGCTTTAGGGCCTTGGACCTGTTGAAGCACTGCACTCTACCAGCGAATAGCATTACACTCCAGTAGATTCCCTCCATGGACTGCAGAACAGGTCCAGCTGACATCTCCATATACCACCCATGCATTCTTTCAAATCAAATCAAATGCGTAGCCCCCTTATAGTACATAAATATACAAAAATATATAAGAAGAAAAAAAAATATATATATACACCGATCAGGCATAACATTATGACCACCTCCTTGTTTCTACGCTCATTGTCCATTTTATCAGCTCCACTTACTATATAGGTGCACTTTGTAGTTCTACAGTTACAGACTGTAGTCCATCTGTTTCTCTGATACTTTGTTAGCCCCCTTTTACCCTGTTCTTCAGTGGTCAGGACCCCCATGGACCCTCGCAGAGCAGGTATTATTTGGGTGGTGGGTCATTCTCAGCCCTGCAGTAACACTGACGTGGTGGTGGTGTGTTGGTGTGTGTTGCGCTGGTCTGAGTGGATCAGACACAGCAGTGCTGCTGGAGTTTTTAAACACCTCAGTGTCACTGCTGGACTGAGAATAGTCCACCAACCAAAAATATCCAGCCAACAGCGTCCTGTGGGCAGCGTCCTGTGACCCCTGATGAAGGACTAGAGGATGACCGACACAAACTGTGCAGCAGCAGATGAGCTATCGTCTCTGACTTTACATCTACAAGGTGGACCGACAAGGTAGGAGTGTCTAATAGAGTGGACAGATGAGTTGAACCATTTGCTGGTTTCATTTGATTTTACTCAGCATATAAATGGCCCTACTCATGAGCATGGACATACTCTTGATCTTATTTTATCTCATGGTTTTAATGTAGACAATGTGACAATTTTTGAAACTGCATTTTCTGACCACATGCCTGTCATGTTCAGTTCTCTGATAGCTTCACATCCTACGGCTATTAGAACTTCAGAACAACCTTCTAGAAAGTTAGGCCCCACTACAGCTACTCAATTTGCACTTATACAAATTATTTTTCATCTAGTGATCTTCACTTGAGGATTGAAGACCTAACTGCTTCTTTCCAATCCCACTGTAGAACTGTGCTGGGTTCAGCTGCCCCTCTGAGAGTTCGACCTCAACCTTGGCTGAATGATTCTATTAGGACGGCCAGGAAAGAGTGTAGGATGGCTGAGCGCAAATGGAAGAAGGACAGGCTGCAAGTATCATTTGAGATTCTCAAATCATGTTTGATTAGATTTCAAGAAATGGTCAGATCTGCAAA